CGAGAACGTCCAAGAACGGAAGTCTGCCCTCCACTTCTTCTTCCATCGTGAATTTTAGATTGGGAAAGATAGAGTTCAGTCGCTTTTTGCAGTTGCTGATGCTATTCTCTTTGATGCCAACGAAGGTGCTTCTCCCTGCGCGACGGTCGGCGGCAGCAGACCTGAACATTTCGAGCCATTCTCTTCGCCAGCGCCGGAGACCGAAGGTCCAAGAACCACTTCCGTGTCCTGACAGACTATGTCGAGCCAGGTTTTGAGCTGGCCCCCACTTTGGCGTTTCTAATTAGGTAACGGTTTCGGGTCGAGGGCTGTGACACTGAGCTCATGAGGTTGCCGACGAAGAACGTGTCTAAACCACCTCAGTCGTCCTTCTTGGATTGCCTGGGATACCCTTGCGATGTTGTCGCAGCCAGTGCGGACTGTCTCATCTTAGACGAAGTCGGTGTACTTCACTCGAAGGATGGTTCTCAAGCAGTAGTGGTCAAAGACTTCCACTTCCTGTTCATCTTCCACGCACGCAGCCCAACATTCGCATCCGTATAGAAGAACAGACCGTACAGGTGCACAATACACACGGACCTTTGTGGAGATATAAATATCGCGTCGGACCCATAGGCAGTTTTGAAGGCTGGAGAAAACACGTTGAGACGATGTCGGGAGACGATGCCATCCTTAATCTGTCCATTCGGTAGAAACCTCGCTCCGAGGTATTTGAAACTGCCTACTTCAAGTTGATAACCAATAATTTTGAGTGGTGCTTTTTTTAGCCAGGGATGCAACATGAAAACATTTTAGCCTTCCCAGCGTTTATGGACAAACCGACCAATTTCGTGACCTCGTTCAGCCGTGACACCACAGACTGTAGATCGCCAAAGATTGAAGCTAGTAAAGCGATATCATCGGCATAGTGGAGATCATTCAACGGGCTTCCGGGTGCAAGCTCAACACCATCATTCTTCTGTAGGGCCTTCCCGAGAACCCAGTCAATAGCGTAGTTAAAGAGGATGGGTGACAAGACACAGCCTTGTCGAACGCCAGACTGAATAGCTAAAGGTTCTGAGAGGTTGTTGTGGACTAGAACCCGCGCACTGGTGGAGCGGCAATATGCCATGATCATGATTATTCTTTTTGTTGGTGCACCATCTAATGCCATTATTCGCCATAGGGATTCACGATGGACGGAATCGAACGCAGCGGCAAAGTTAACAAAGCCGACGGCTGTTGGTTGTTGGTAGCTATGGCGGAATTCAAGGATCCGTCTCAGTGTGAGTACCTGGCCCTCACATCCGCGTCCAGCGCGAAATCCGACTTGGTTAGGTCGCGTCCTGGAGCCGCGCACAGACTAGATCCGTCTCAGGAGAACAGTGGCGAAGATCTTCGCAGCAACGTCGATAAGGTTTATGCCGCGGTAGTTTGCACATCTCGTATTATCCCCTTTCTTGTGGACAGGCACAAGGATGCTCGAGCCCTTGTCATCAGGAACTGCCTCGTCTCTCCACGCTTGTCCAATCACCCCTCTCTGTGTGGCTCGAATTATCTGTTTGTTGAGGAAATAGGGGCAACAAGCTGATCCCTTATGATAACCGTAAGCTATGGGGGCCTGGTCGTGAGGAAACATCCAAAAATTTCCCACAATCGAAGTTGCATCAACAGATGATCATGGTAACAGTCTCGTTGCATTTTCCATTACGGCTTTTTCGGGGCTAATGAGAGCATCGTAGCAGAGGTTTTCTGCAAACAACTCGAAGAAGTACACTTTGAATAAGATGAGGCCTGCACTAGTAAATCGATATGGTCCAATTTCGCTCCATACCAGCGCACGCCCACGTCAGAATGCGGTTTGGTGTACGAGACTTTACCACATCTTCCAAATTCTTCCCACCTTTCGCCTACTGACTACTATTTCTAAAGCATCTAGACCTTTTTAAGCAGTAGGAATTTCAAAAACCAAACTGAGATAAAAAAATAAATTTGAAAAATTTTGTAGCACCAAAGCCGCTGGATTTTTATTAACGAGACATTTGTAGCGGCCTCTTATTCTAAGTCATGCTTTGCTCACATGCCTGTGGGGCACGACCCGAGGGTCTAGCTTTTGTGCCTACCAGTCCGCGCGCGTG